CGTTCGAGGCGGCCAGGTGGAGTCTGCCCTGCGTGACAGGCCGGGCAGTGGGGGCCACCACAGGCTGGAAGCCAGAAGGGGTGTAAACAGATTTACAGGAATTACATCCAAAGGTTTCCTCATGAACAGGAACAATTACCTTTAGAAATTCTTCTTATCTCCAAATTTTAACTTAACTTATTGAAACACAAATTCTAAAAGGCAAGTAGGGCAAACTCAGAACACAGACAATTAAAAAACCCCTCCCACCGTCCCGGCACTCCCATTCCTAAGGAAAACACACATATGCAAGTTAAGGCCTTTTGATAATTAAATAAGATGAGACATTATGCAAATGAAATATATTCAAGTATGCAATGAATTTTAAATGACAGAACTACAGAAAACTTAATTGCTATATTAGCATGCTATGAAAACACTAATCATAAATGTAAAACAATGCATGCATACACTTATTTCTAGACTGTCCTGATGACACGAAAATCAAATGGTTCCTCCCACCGCGTTCGTATGCAAACCCACCTCAATGTACCGAAAGAAGAAAGATCAATCTCGAGTTTCGCTTACCATTTGTAACCATTATGCTCACTAGCATAAACGTTAAATGTTTAATTAGTTTTCCTTCGGTATGTCTGAAAAACTTATTTAAAAAAAGAACCGAAAACGTGATTTTCTACACTTCATGCATGGAATTAAAATATTCAATAGTATCGCTGCTGTTGTTGTTCGGTGCCAACAAGTGAGGCGGGCAGCGTTTTGTCCTGTTGTTTAATCACATAGGAGGTGACTGAAAACACCATGGCTTGGGTCAGGCGCACCTTAGTCCTCAAGGTGGCAGCTTTGTTTTTTAATACCTCAAAGAGGTCATTTGCAGCAGATTTGCCCAGTGCATACATCATTTGATTTCTTGACTGCTACTTCCATGAGAATTGATCGTAAATAGCATTAGCTGTAGTTTAACCATATGTTCTAGACTAGAGTTTTAGTGATTATGCAAAGGCATTCGATTGTGCGGATCATTACAAATTATGGATAACACTGTGAAGAATGGGAATTCCAGACACTTAACTGTGCTCATGCGGAACCTGTACATAGACCAAGAGGCAGTTGTTTGAACATAACAAGTGGATACTGAGTGGTTTAAAATCAGGAAAGGTATGTGTCAGGGTTGTATCCCTTCACCATGCTTATTCAATCTGTTTGTTGAGTAAATAATCCAAGAAGATGAACTATATGAAGAAGAACGTGGCATCAGGATTGGAGGAAGACTCCTTAACAACCTGCGATATGCAGATGACACAACCTTGCTTGCTGAAAGTGAAGAGGACGTGAAGCACTTACTGATGAAGATCAAAGAGTACAGCCTTCAGTATGGTTTACCCCTCAACGTAAGGAAAACAAAAATCCTCACAACTGGACCAATAAGCAACATCATGATAAATGGAGAAAAGGTTGAAGCTGTCAAGGATTTCATTCTACTGGAATCTACAATCAACGCCCATGGAAGCAGCAGTCAAGAAATCAAACAACGTATTGCATTGTGCAAACCTGCTGCAAAAGACCTCTTTAAAGTGTTAAAAAGCAAAGATGTCTCTTTACCAAGCCATGGTATTTTCAATCGCCTCATATACATGCAAAAGCTGGACAATGAATAAGGAAGACCAAAGAATTGATGCCTTTGAATTACATGGTGTTGGCAAAGAATACTGAATATACCATGGACTGCCAGAAAAACGAACAAATCTCTCTTGGAAGAAGTACAGCCAGAATGCTCCTTGGAAGTGAGGATGGTGAAACTTCGTTCCATGTACTTTGGACATGTTATCAGGAGGGACCAGTCCCTGGAGAAGGACGTCCCGATTGGTAAAGCGGAGGGTCAGTGAAAAAGAGGAAGATCCTCAATGAGATGGGCTGACACAGTGGCTGCAACAATGGGTTCAGACATAGCAAGGATTGTCAGGATGGCACAAGACCTGGCAGCATTTTGTTCTGTTGTTCATAGGGTCACTAGGAGTCGGAACCGATTCAACGACACCTAACAACACCAACATCAACAACAGACTAGAGTATGTGTTGGTTGTTCATAAACAGCAAGGGCCATGCTCCTCGTCTTTCTTCATTAAAGTAGCATTTCGTTTTCATCAGTTAGGAATTCTGCTCCTCAACAAACCGTCAGAACACTGGTCACGACGAGTCACAAACATATTGGGGAAAAAGTCATTAGCCGGCCGGGCCTGGAAACAGATTCACACTGAAGCACAGCTTTGGCTATTTGTCTTTTCAAACTGGACAAATGGTAAGTTCTTCTCAGATTTGCAATTCAACTCTCAACATCTTGATCCCTTAAAGGAGTAAGGGAACTGGGATGAACCATCACCAGTGGCTGCCTTTCCTGGAGGTGAGAACCCAGAGGGGTCCCAACAGGGACACTAAAGGCAGGTACCATCTACTCCCTGTTCTACAGGCCCCACGAGGGACAGGGACTTGGGTGTTCCCCTCCCTGCTACTGCCCAGCACCAAACACAGCACCTGAAATGCAGACAGTGCCCTATGGCCGTTTGGTGAATGAATGGAGGAGCAAACCAACGACCTCTCAGGAGGCACTCCTGGCTTTGCACGTCCCCTCTCAGAACCCTCAGGATGGAGCCCAAGCAGCGTGCCTGGACACAGGACCCACCCACTGGCCTTGTCCTGGTCCCCAGCCTCCCCTGGCTCCCCATCCCCTCCCTCATCCAGGGATCGGTCTGCTGGGCCCTAAACCAGCCAGCTCCCCTAGGCCTTTGCTCACACTTGTCCCACCCCCACCGTGTGGGCCTGGGATCGACAACGCCCCCCTCCTCCCTGAACCCGGATACACCTTTCAAGATTCAGCGTAAGCACCCATCTCACCAAGAAGCCTGGCCTAGTGCCCTCGGTCCCTTGAGATGCCCCTTGAAGCAAACTCCCCTCTCGGTGGCCCAGGAGAGGACCAAGAACTGTCCCATTCACCTCTGTCCCTTCTCCCCCCTGCCTCCCCAGCTCTTGCTGCCTTTCGAGCTCCACTCACCCCACAGGATCCAGGTGAAAAGTCTCCTCGCTGTGAAAGGGGACTTCACCGCGGGAACCAGCCCAGGCAGAGGAGTCTGTCTCCACCATGTCCACGCCCGTGTCTGGACCCCACACACCCCTCCCAGCTGTGTAGCCACCAGAGCGCACGGTCACTGCGCCTCTCTGCATCTGCATCCCGACCCACACCTAGGTGTCCAAATGGTGGGCCAGTGTCATACTCGTTTCTGTATCCTGAGCAAGGAATCCCTGGGTGGCACAAATGGTTAGGCACTGGACTACTAACCAAAAGGTTCGGGGTTCAAACCCACACAGAAGCACCTCAGAAGACAGGCCTGGTGATCAGCTTCCAAAAGGTCACAGCCTTGAAATCCCTATGGAGCAGTTCTACTGCGCGCACAGCGGGTCACCATGAGTCGGAATCGACTTGACAGCAAGGAACAACAACAGCATCTTGAGAAAAGGGCCCAGGGACTCGGTGCTGCTTAAACGAACCACTGCGCTGAGAATGCCTCGGCGCTCTCTCCCCGCGTCCAGGGGGCCTGGAGCAGGCCGCGCCCTCCCCCAAGCGCTCCCACTTACAGCCAGCAAAATGGAGCCTAGCTGGCACCTGTCCCTTGGGGTCCCTTTCATGGAGTCCCAAGTCAGTCGGTGCACAGCACCCACTAGGATGTCTGCACCACGGCTGGATAGACCGGGAGCCAGAGGGAAAGGAACTGCACAAAGGGATTGACTAAGGCTTTCCGCCCAGAAGCAGCACGTCCTTAATACATATACAACTGCAATAAATGACAGGTTCTTTAATCAAAACTCCCGACAATTAATCTGAAAGGCACATGACCCATCTTAGAGGCCATCAAGAAACTGGATACTGACGCTCAGAGTAAAAACACAAGCAGTTGCAGCGGGTCTCATTTTCATTGCAAGCAAATATTTAATCAATAAATATCCACTGTTCAGAGCTGCATCTGCATTCAGGATTACAAGGTACTAAGCTGCAAATTTATTAAGACTCATTAGCAAGAAAGAGTCTTTTAAATACTGCAAGTCAGACTCAATTTAGAGTAAATACTTAGAGTTCCCTATTGACTTAATTCCAAAACTAATATTTAAAAAAAAGGAAAAGAGAAGAAAGCTGTCTGTAAACTACTCTGAAAATTTCCATAGGGCCACACTGCCACCACGCACTTCCAATGTCAAGTGGGTTAAGTACAAGAAGATGTGCTAATGACCGCACCCCCATTCTCCATCCCCCACAAGGACTTCAAGACAAGCACCATCAGTGCCAGGCTGGAGGAAGCCCAAGCTCCACCCCCACCACAGAAACACAAGTTACTTCTAACATCAATTGTATCTTCTAACATCGTTACTTCTGATGTTAAAAACCAAGCCAAACCCCTTGCTGTGAGTGAATTCCAACTCATAATGACCCAATAGGACAGAGTAGAACTGCCCCACAGGGTTCCCAAGGAGCGGCTGGTGGATTCAAACTGCCGACCTTTTGATTAGCAGCCGAGCTCTTAACCACTGCACCACCAGGGCTTCTCTAATGCTAAAGGGAGGGAGCAGAAAAAAACACCCCATCTTGGTCAAACATATTTCCCTGTCATTGATTCCTCGGGGTTGAAATAATTTTCTATGTTGGAAACTTTCTATGCCACAGTTTTGAAAATAATACAAAGACTTTTTAAAAAGAATAAAATCACAGAATAAGAATATAGCTATCATAAATTATTACTTATCCTCATTTCCTGCCAGCCGTGTCAAACCAAGCTTGAAATTAAGCAAAGAATGGAAAACGTCAGAGTAGCCCAGGCAAAGGCCTGTGTCACAGTGCAGGAAAGATAGTGTGCAGGTTTGGGCTGTAGCTGATGGGTCGTACGTCAACCTAGGTGACGTGGTTCGTCCCAGCCCAAGAAAGACAGCACCGGTGAGCCGGCATGAGAGACACTTACAGACAGAAGCTTCCACGTGATTGGACGGACAGGCTTAGGTATTCCGGACCAGCTCAACTTCCTCAATTCCTCTGTAGATATAAAAAGGGACAAGGAAAAGCAGGGGTTACCAAAGGCAAGTAAACACCCCCCAGTGTCGTTAGAAGGAAGGGGAGCCCCATGAAGGAGACGAGAAAGGGGCTAAGTTATGAACACTTCAGATGCTGACTGCTCTCAATATATGAGCAAAGTTAAGTTACTTACCACTCTATTCAATTTGCAAAGCTAAAATGTTACCTCTCACGGACTGAATTGGGTCCCCCAAAAAGAAAGGTGGAAGTCCTAACTCCTATACTTGTAAATAGGACCCTGTTTGGAAAGAGGGTGGGTCTTCTCTTGTTATGTTAATGAGGTCCTACAGAGTAGGGTGGGGCCCCAACCTAATCCCTTCTGAGCAGTGCCTCATAAAAAGAGCGGAACAGACACCGACATCCCACACAAAGGAGAAGACAGAGACCCCATGAGGACCCGTCTACAAGCAAAGGAACACTGAGGTTCACCAGCGGACGCCGCGAACTAGCTGAGAGGCCCACAGAGGGAATCGACGCAGCCAAGACCCTAACCGGGACTTCTAGCCTCCAGAGCTGTGAGGCAGTAAGATTCTGTCCTTTAAAGCCACTACTGGTGGGAATTTTTATTACAGCAGCACTAGGTAACTAAGACATTACCTGTTTACATTTACATCTTAGAGAGGACGTGCTTGTCAAATGCTCAAGTGTCCCTAGAGCCACCGGGGGGAGGTAAGGCACCATCACCTTCCTCCCTCAAGCAGTGGGTGCCCAAAGGATACCAGCTTCCTCCCAGCCCTCCCAAGCTCCCTCCGTTTCTCCCAACTTCTCTCTCTCTTCCTTTCTCTCTCTCTCCTGCACGTCTATTCCCCAGCGTCACCACCTAATGACTTTTTTTCTTTCATCCTATCTCGTTCTGACCAGCTAAGGTTTAAGAATACCCAGATGTGGTGATTTTCCCAGTGTTGGTTTTTTAAAGGAATTATTTTATGGAGATCAGCTTATCTTTATAGAGCATTAATTAAACATTTGGCTACAGTATACCTACCAAGGGAGCCTGGTGGCGCAGTGGTTAAGCACTTGGCTGCTAACTGAAAAGTTGGTGGTTCGAACCCACCAGCTGCTCCGTGGCAGAAAGATGTGGCGGTCTGCTTGCATAAAGATTACAGCCTTGGAAACCCTATGGGGCAGTTCTACTTTGTGCTATAGGGTCGCTACGGGTCAGAACTGGCACAACAGCAATGGGTTTATACACACCAAGGACAAGAAAGTCCTCAAGGTGGACTAATGCCAGTCAGTCATGCTTTCACAAATACATACAGGTGGGAGAGTCACAGGAGGACAGGGGCCGGCCAGAGGCAGCCAGAGTCTGGGCGGGAAGGGCACAGCAGGGGACCTGGGGGTAAGGCTAAAGGACTGTGAATTCCATCCGACCCTCTGTGTTTCTTACACGCACTGAAGCCTAGAGAATCCATTTCAGTCTGCAGGTTTATCAGCACTCATCTGAACCCACGGAAACTGAAAATTATTTCTCTCCTCTCAGTTAGGAACCCACCGTTACATTCTTCTAACCGCTAGGAGCTAATGATTAACCAGGAATAAAATAAATGATTAAAGAAAAGACTTGGGTAATATAATCAACAAAATACAAAGTCCTGACATCTCATCTTTCCCAATCACTAGAGTCTAAGTACAATAAGGACAGAATAATTGGGCGATACTACTGGCAACAGCTTGCATTTTGCAGCCCTCTCAGAACATATCAAATCTTCACCAGCCCCGGAGGACATTACGACAAGCAGGAACCTAATATCTGAACACCAATCATGGACTGTTTACGAGTCCTGTTCCCAGCACCTCCCCCACTGCCAGGCTCTGCTTTCTGACTGCGGGTTATGAAGACAGCGAGAGAAATCTCAGCTGTCAACGATCTCTGGCCCTGTCTCCTCACTGGAACAGACTCACAAGAACGGTATCTCAAATCTACCGTGTACGACAACGTGCTAACTCTGTTTCAGCCGCAGCGTTTAAAAGGAGCTCTCACATACCTTACTTGAGCCTCCAAACAGCGTGACTAATCAAGGTTATGATCCCCACTGTGTGAATGAGAAACAGCTCCAGAGAAGTTAAGTGACTTGACCAAGGTCACACAAAACTGCATGTGTGACCAAGTGGTGACCTTCAAACACCAGGGTCTTCAACTATGTTAACATCTATGACTAAGAAGGCTTCCTGTAACAGACAAATCTCACTTACGAATACAGGCAAAAAGATTCACAATAAAACCCTGCCAGACGGAAATATAGCAGGATATTCAAAGAATAAGGCACCAGGCAGGGGGCCCTTGCAGAATGAAAGGGCGTTCAGTGTCAGGAAGGCCTTCATTTTACCCACGGGCTCCACCACCCTCTGTCCGTGTGCTGAACTGCGGTGGCTGGCGTGCTATGGTGACGTTGGAAGCTAAGCCACTGGTGATTTCAAACAGCAGCAGGGTCACCCATGGTGCACAGGTTTCAGTGGTGCTTCCAGACAAAGACAGACTATGAAGAAAGGCCAGCTGATCTACTTGCAAAACTCAGCCAAGGAAAATCCTATGTATCACAACAGACTACTGCCCAAGAGAGTGCTGGAGTATGAGCCCCCTAGGTTGGAAATCAATCAAAACACACAGTGGCAACAACAGACTCCAGCATGCCAACAACTGTAAGAACGGCCCGGGACCACGCCGACGGCCGCGGGGACAGCCCGGGACCACGCCGACGACTGTAGAAATGATATGGGACCAGGCGGAGTTCCATTCTGATGTGCGTGGGGTCACCATGAGTCAAAGCCAATCCAACAGCAACTAACAATATCAACACTGATGTGCTGAATTAGGGTGACAGGAAAACCCACAAGGCCATCCTGACAGAGGTCAAGAAGGCAGGTGTAGACTGTCACCCAGGGCCTATTTCCCCATTTGGAGAGAATCCCAGTTGTGCAAAGTGACTACACAGCCCCAAGCAAGGCCCACCCCACCCCGTTCCACTGGGGGGCCTGATGGCTGGTGGTGAGCAAGCCAAGCCCCCATCAGTGACTGATTCAGCAGCGGGCCTGGGACACTATTTCAGCCACTGAGGACAGAGAACAAATAAGCTGGGGGCTTCTGAAAAGCACCCCTTGCTCTTGGGAAATCTTTTGGAGGCAGCCCTCTCTTTCTTCCTCTGCACATCACCAGGGCCATGCGGGAGGCTCTGAACTGCTGCACCATTGAGGGATCAGCCTGAGGGTGAAGCCACAGAGACACACAGGCAGAACCACAAGCCAGACAAGAAACTGGGCTCGGAGTTAAGCAAGATGGCCAGACATAAGAACAACACCCAGAAATCAACACCTTCTCTCTACTGGCAAAAAAAAACAAACAGAACTGTTACAGGCGTAAGCATAACAAGAAATGTACCATACACATGAAGGAACTATATGGTTTTACTTAAAGACATAAACAGAGGAAAACACCACGCTCATTATCCTTCCTTTAACAAGTACCTGATGAGCGCTTAATCGGGACCAGACACCACCGGACTGCCCGCACCTGTCCGTCAAGTCCATTCTGACTCACAGCTACCCTACAGGACAGAGCAGAACTTCCCCACAGGGTTTCCAGGAGTGGCTGGTGGATTTGGACGGCCGACCTTCTGGTTAGCAGCCAGGCTCTTAAGCACCACACCACCAGGGCTCACTACTAGGCTAGGAGTGGGGAACAAGAGGAAACAAGAACTTGTCCTTGTGCTTAGAGGACTCACCATCTAACCAAAAAAACCCCAAACCCACTGCCATCAAACCCACTGCCGACTCATAGCGACCCTACAGGACGGGGTAGAGTTGCCCCATAGGGTTTCCAAGGCTGTAAATCTTTATGGAAGCAGAGTGCCACATCTTTCTCCCGCAGGGCAGCTAGCGGGTTCAAACCACCGACCTTTCAGTTAGCAGCCGAGTGCTTTAACCATTGTGCCACCAGGGCTCACCACCTAGTCGAAGGACATGGTAAATGGAAAATCACAACTTGACGAAGTGCTGGGATGAACAGGTAAAGGGCGCCGTGAAACGGACAACAGGGATGCTGCCCAGTCAGCACGTCAGGGAGGGCATCCTTGAAGCAACCACCGCTGAGGACAGATCTGAGGATGAGGAGACACTGACCGAGGAAGGTGGCGGGAGGGCGAGCTCTCCAAGCCCAGGGAACAGCCCACGCGAAGCCCCGTGATGAGAGGTAACGTGGCACAGTTTAAGGAACCAAGAGGAGCTGCGTGTGGCTAGCGTGACATCTCTCAGAGGGTCCAACCGCCATCTGGGGCAGAACAATTCTTCACTGTCTGGGCCCACATCGCGTATGGGGACACGTTTGGCACACCTGCCCTCCCCCCACCCCATGCAATAATGTCTCCCGGCACTGTGATAAGACTGTCCCTACACATTTCCAAACACCCTCTGGAGGGGCCGTAGCACCCCCATTGACAACGACCTGACTGGAGCGCGGAGAGCACAGAGGAGCATGGCGCCAGGTCAGGCCCGAGGGACAAGACCACCAGCAGGGTGTCATAGGCTGCGTTCAGAATTCTGCACTTCATCCTAAGGACCATGGAAAGCCATGGAAGGGTTCTGGCAGGACAGCATGAAGGGAAGACTGGGGGGGCCGAGAGAAGTTACAAGGAGATGACGTCCTGGACCCCAGCAGTGAAGAGGTGATGGTACCTACGATGGATGGTGGCAATGGAGAGAGAAGCAGTGACCGGAAAGATGGGCAGGAGATAAAAGCAGGAAGATAAAGACAGTATATTCTTGATCTGAGACTGAAAATCACAATGCTGCCAGCTGTCACTTGAAAAAATCTCTAAGTTCAATGCAGCCAGTCAAAGTTCCAATGGAATATACTGTATGTGTTTTGAAACTAAGTTGGTCCTAAGTTCACTGGGAAGAGCAAGGGCATAAGAACAGCCAATAAAACTTTCAAAAAGAATAATGAGAAGTGTCTTGCATTAACAGAT